AATAATAATAATAATAATAATAATAATAATATCAATAAATAATAATAATAATAATAATAATAATATCAATAAAATAATAATAATAATAAGTAATAAATAATCCCAACATTATTCATAAATAAACGGGGCGCTACATTATGTATATGTTTGTTGTTCAATTTTGGTATATACAGAATTTTATACCCGAAACATATAAATTTTCATACCTCGAAACATCTACTGAAATATACTGTATATACTCACATATGTACAGAATAGAATTAACTATCAACGAATCAAGCACACCACGAGCAGGGTTGTCGTCGACCTTGAGAGGGATATTATTTTTCGGCATTTTTTTTCTTGGGTCCCAGTTCTTTCCAGCGAGAGAAGATTAATTGTAGAGATAAAACAATGAGATGAAATAGCCAATTAGAGAGGAGAATTGATAACTGCAACCGAGAAAGATAGACTAATATTGCATAATGATATCGTGAAAGATAAAAGAAATAGAAAATGACTAAAAAAAAAGAATGAGAGGATTTCAACATAAGCAATAAAGAGTGACAATATGATTTGACTGTGAAGACTGAATAAGACAATATATATTTACCATCCAATTATTTAGTGAAATTTTGTTATATACGACGTCTTTTATATTGGTTTTGGTCTTTTATGTATGATAAGAAGGAAGTAGTTTGAGCCCAAAATACATATTTTGTTTAATTATGCAACTATCATTTTTTATGAATATAAATAACATAATTTGTTAATTATTGTTATTTTTTTTATTATAACACTTTTTCTTTTCTGAAGAGAATGACAAGAATATATTACTACTACCAAAACGTTGCAATAGACAAAGTTTAATCATCAACTACTTCCTTCTTATCATACATAATAGATGTTTGTTTTATCAAAATAAATTTTAATATTTTATAATTTATATAATATAATATAAATGTATCTTTATTATAATGTATATTTTAAAAAATTATATTAAATTACATTTTGTATAAGTTACATGTAAAATATAAGTAATTTGTTATTGACATGAATATTGACGATTACTATGTCTCTTTGTAACTTTACAAAAAAATGATATTTCTTGCACGTCATATCGATCACCATCGGACTTATTTTGCAAACAATTGAATTATTGAATTTATTTTTCTAATTAGAAAAAGTGAAAAATATGTGGATCGAAATTGAGTCTTTTTGTGTATTTTCTTTCTTAGGTATTTAATATATTTTTTAATTTGATTGGATGATATTTGTGTATTTTTATTTGAATTACTATATTCACTTTATTAATAGAATAGAAATAATGACGTTATCTACTCATAATTGATGAAAATTATGTTATTAGCGAGATATTTTTAGAAAATGTTTCAAAAAGTGTCACTAATGTGACAAATACATTTATTCGTCAAATATCACTAATATTCATTTAATTTAAATTCATTTAATTTGAAAAATTTATGAAACAAAAAATTGGTATTGTATAGTCACAATCAGTTATATGTTGTTGTTTCTAGATTCACATATCCCTATTGTTTGATGATTATTATCTATGATGATAATAGGGATAATGAATACAATTCATCAACTACTAATATTATATTTAGATAAATATTTTAAAATATAATAAATATATTTTCATCAACTAATATCATATTTAGAAAATTATTTTAAAATATAATAAATAGTATTTTCATCAACGTCATTTTTAACATCAAGTCGCGCAACGCGCGGGCCACGTACTAGTATACAAGAAATTGACAAATTTCACCTATGAAACTGACGTAGAGAAAGGTTATATATAACATGGTCACGGGTAATAGTCGATGTAAATGAAGTGGGGGATAGTGAATATTTTGTAATCTCGCACGGATTTGGACTTATGGGAATGTACAAGAAAATAACAAATTTCACTTGTGAAATGACGTAGTCACGTAGAGAAAGAGTATATATGGACAACACAAGTGTAGAGAGTGGTTATTCTTTGGCAATAAAATCAACAAATCTATATGTAATGAAATAGTTATCTATACTTATATTAAAAGGTATACCATTTACCAGATTTAGTATAAAAAAAAGTCAACAACATTTATTGCATTACTATTTCCGTATTATACAATCTATACTTATATAAAAGGAGATTCTATTTACTACATTTACTATCCAGAAAAGTCAACTGCATTAAATGCCATTACTATTTTGGTATTATAATATTTTATTTATTTAATTAATTTATTTATATGTTTTATTCTAAAAAAGTAAGTATAATAAAAAGATTTTAATAAAAAAAAAATTAAATACCAAATAAAAATGTACACTTTGACTTATTTGATTATATTTGGTATTTGATTATACCAATTATATTCCTATTTAGTATATACATTGAATATTTACTAAAGTATTTATTTGTTTTGTTTGTCAAAGTTAAGTATAGATTTAGTTATATTATCAAATCATAAAAAAAATATTAAATCCATATTTTTAAAAAAAATCATATAATTTTATAACAATTCTACTACACTATTTAACAATATTTTTTTTATTATATTATAAAATAATAATTAAATATTATATGGTGAACAACAATAAGTAAAACTATTACTTTATCTTATATCTTATATGCTAAAATTAAATTTTTATTAGTATAAATATTTTAGTGAGATAATATATTAATTATTTTACAAGCTAGCCCTAACATGCTCATATTTAATGTTTTAAAAGATGTAGAAAAAAAACTTATAATAACTCTATTATTTTTTAGACTTAAACGTTGATTAAAAGAGGTAAAAATTATTAGTTTTTTAGACTTAAACATTGATTAACACCATAGATTGAGAGTTTATATATAGTAAAATTCCTAATTGTAATAAAAAAAAATAATTTTTGCTATATTTTAGAATATCTTTAAATTAAAAAAAAAAAGAAAAAAAACTACAATGAAAAAAGCAAGTCAGCTATATATCGATTTGTTGTACTCCTCAAATCACATTCACAATTTGGCTACAAAGAAAGGAAACTCATTGATTAAAATATTATTTTGTCAGTAGTCTTAATGTACAAGAGACTTTAAGACTCCACTTGAATATTATAAAACTTTTATTGAACATTGTACAATTTTCTTGCGTATTATAAACTTTTATTGAATATTGCATCTTATAACATAATATTCTCCAAGTAATATATCTCGTGTTTTGCACGGGTCACGTACTATATATATCCCGTACATTTTTCTTTATTCATGTATATAATTATAAGCCTGGATAAATAACCTTAAAATTGTGCACCCCGTGTATCGCACGGGCTCTGTACTAGTCATTAATATTAAAGGGGACCATGTTAAAAGGAAAAGAAATTACTCCAAAATGGATTTATTAATGGGGACCATGTTAAAAGGAAAAGAAATTACTCCAAAATGGATTTATTAAAGGGGACCATGAGCCCACCGGGACCTGTTCTAAAAAAGTTCAATGAACAGGAGTCAAGAAGGAAAGAAATTTGGGGATAAGATTACGAGCTAAATGGTCCTCCTCATAATAATGGTTGATGCTATAAATGCAATCTTGTGAAGGCCGATTTTATTGGTGAAACGTTTTTCATTCACCTAAAACTTGGCATCAATCACATTAAAATATAAAAAATTATATAGAGTGGTTCTTATGGAGTCATCCATCACTTAATATATTGACACTTGTCCAAAGTGTATTTATTGCAGGACACGTGTCAATAAGTGTGTAAGGCTCCATAGCAAAACTAATGATATAACATCTATACTTATATAATAAGAATTAACATTTATCCAAAATAGTAGGTCAAATTATGGTCAATGTCGGATTTGCATTAAATATTTTCCAAAACTGGTAAATTTTTGTCCTTTTCACACTTCTCATTAATTATGTCCTTTTCACACTTCTCATTAATTATATCATTTTCACACATTTAATTAATTCATTAATGACGACATAAATTATTATAAATCATTCCATCTGAGCTTTTATCGTTAAAATGTATAGCGATCTGTTATGACTTTATCCCATTGATATTTCCATGAAGCGTTCTTATCGCATTCTATTTTTTGGTGACCACTCTATATCAGTAACCGGATATTTGGTTAATGATAGCACACGTCTTTCTTTCAAGGAGCGGATATTCTTTAACTTTTAATTAATTTCTTTGACTTTTAATTAATCTGAACTGATTGCCTTGACTTTTCAATTTTTAAAAACTCTTTTTTTAAATATTTCGGCTTAAGATTCGGATTTCATTATACAAGTCATCGGATTGTTTGAATGAAAATGAATGAAAAGAACACCAAAAACAGGTAACCTTATTCATATAACCAATCCTAAAATATTAGTTTGTTCACCAAAAAGAGACAAATCCTAGAAATCCTAAAATATTAGTTTGTTCACCAATCCTAAAATATTAGTTTGTTAACAAAAAATATTAATTTAATTTTTAGGATTTATCCCTTTTGAAAATATTAGTTTGTGATAATGAGGAGTTACCAAATAATCAAACTGATAATGTTGTGTACAAGAAGGTTTTTAATAATATATGATTGTTACCGAACTTTTTTATGATTCAACAATGTTCCTATGTATTTTAATGATTTCAATTTCGATCCTAATGCACGTGAGGGTATATTATTCTTCTAAATTTTACATCCCGTGCATCGCACGGGTTACGTACTAGTTCATAAGAATAAGTATAAAAATAATGATATAAGAGGTATCTATTTGACTTGTACATTTTACTTCTGTGCATCCTACGGGTCAAACACACTACACTATTGTCACCAAAGCCAAGCAGATTAATGTTTGGGTGAATATGTGTGTGTGCGTGTTAAACCCATAGCCATCCTAACAATTTAACTTTACCAATTGCACATTGAATTCAAACACGGGAGCAAATAGAGTAGTTCAAAATAAGCACTTGCAAGAACCAACATTCAACATGCCTGTTCTTTTGCAGGCCTTTCGATCTCATTAAATTGACGAGCCCACGAGTGGTTTTACTTACAGTTCAAGGATTTCAACATTGTTTTTTCCCAAAGACTAAAGAGTATTAAAGAAAACTATTAAGGAGAACGAATACCACCCATGAAGGTCCTCGGGTCAGGGCAACCTCCAGAGAACTGAGCCTGTGAAAAGTCAAAGCCTGGATTCTGCAGGCAAAAATTATACGTGCAATGCAATTACAAAGTCAGTATTGAAAGATAATCCTAACAAACAAATTTAAGTAACAAGTATGTGCTTCAGCCTTCAATACAGTGGTTTATTAATTGCAAGTTACTTGAGTGACTATATGGTATTATGTGATACCAGGATCATGTGGAACATGAGCTTTGACCAATAATCAGAGAAAGCCTCATAAAGGTCCAGAAAATAACGGTCAAGTGCTTAAGTTGTATGCGACACTTGAGAATTTATGCACTTAGAAACTTGAGCAGAAGAGCTTCAATGATCTTTGCTTTGTATTATGTTCCAGGTGTAAAAGCAGACCACAAGATTGATAAGCTGCCTACTTCCATCTATGTAGACATTATTGCTTGCTAAGCCCAAAAGGCGATCCATGATTTATTAGACAGCAATGAAGAGAAACAAGCAATCCTCCCAAAAGCTCTTAATTCAAAACATTTAAAATTAGGAATACCTTCACAAAAAACTCAGCATATTTTAGAAGCTATCACACAAATTAAGAAATCTCGTAACACGACTTACATATCCTTCTTGTTGGTCACAACCTTTTCCATTACCACACTTGTAGTAAAGCATTTACTTGAGAATAGTAAACAAGGCATATTGGGGATCACAGGCTTTATACATCAATTACTTTGGGACGGAGCAAGTATAATAGTGGCAATGTAAATGCCATCAGATTCCGGTAATGGCAAAGTTGATTACAAAACTATATGTAAGATGAGCAAATGGAAATTAACAGAACTATAGAACACATAATTAATTAGTAAAAATGGGAAATGAAGCTTGATTATTATACGAGCCACTAGAAATATAAGCCCTTATCTAAACAAACATGCAAATATAGAAGACATATATCACCCAGAACAAGACACTTGACACGGGGCACAATGACCATACTAAAGACGTCAGAGAAAAAAACAATTTAGATATCATGTATATCAGTAGTAATCAAGTTGAAATAACAGATGCAAAGATGCAATAATACAAGACATGAGCACAGAGAGCCAGCACATAATAATCAGCAAACTAAGACTAAAATGACAATTGACAAACCTCTTCCTGAAACCTTTGCAGCATGAGGCGCTTCTGCTCAAGATCTGTGGTGTATGGATCTAACTGGCCCTGACCCACTATAGGTGAAGACCAAGTCTGACCAATGTCCCTTTTCTGCAGAGTTATGTGCATAATATCATCTTCTGCAACAACAAATATCAAACTTCACATCATTTTGGAGAGAAATTATATGAACTTGGATCCACAAACTGCTATTCACACTTAATTAGTACTGGCTAAATCCAATTATTCATTCATTAACAGATCAACTAATAGGAGTCACGTACGAAAATCACACGAGAATCAAGATTCCGGAAAATCTGTTGAAACTGAGATCGAGCTATTTGTGAGGTAAACCTCATCTCATTAATCGGAAATCTAAAATCGAACTGAAATGTTCATACAGAGTGCAGATATGTAGTGTACATATAGCTGTATACGTCACCCACATGCAATGCTAAAACGACGCCGTCCGACCCTTAAACTAAAACAAAGAAAGACGCAACTCACTAATAAAAGGAACGCACCACTGAACACGCATTTTCTAGTACAATAAAACAAATACCAAACTAAAAAAAGGAATGGAAAAACACATGAACACCAACTTCATCACCTATCAAACACTAACTCCAACAAAATCTAATGATATTATAATTAACAACTCAATCTAGTATTGACAGTCATTAGTTTGTTCACTTTAGTAGAAAGCAGTTAGGCACAAGAAAATACCGAGCGTCCAAAATGAAGAATCCGTCTTCACTGGGCAGGTAAGGTCATGCTGTGATATATCAAGAGGCAACAATAATAATAATAATAATAATAATAATAATAATAATAATAATAATAATAATAATAATAATAATAATATTCTTTGGAAAGAACAATAGAAATGCACAATAAAATGAAGGAGAAATAACACCACAGGGAAAAAGCTGACATTAAGGTAGGGAGGTTTCCCTTTGATCCCAACTTCAACGTGCTTCGATTCAATCTTACAGTGGAAAAGCTTCTTTGGAACATTGGGTGGAAGATCTATGTACATATTCACCTCCTCCAGCGTTTGGTCCCACTCAAAGACCTTTTGACCTGAAGAAAAAAAATAAATAAATAAATAAAAAAATTGGTGTCTGCAGATATTCATCATCATCGTCATCCTACTAAAGAAAGCAATAGAGTAGAAGAACTTATACCATTATGCATGAAGTTGTGCCTTTTCTCAGGAGCCAATTTCTCAGCCATTTTTCTACTGTTTTGCAATTCGATTTAGCTTCCCTTAATCGCAATTGATGTCCTTCAATTATACATCAGGACGATTTAGTTACAAACACAAAAAGAAAACAGTTCTACAACAAAATCAAATAAAAAAACTATGTACAAAAGACCAGCATATAAATTCGACCACAGTGATTCATGTGCTAAAATTTGTAACACTATTTTTTTTTTCAATTCTTCTTTTCAACATAAAATACATCAGAAATTTTGGATCAAAATTGAAGGAAGACGAAGNAAGAAATATGAAAGGAGAGAGATACCTCAGGTGAAATGGAAACGGGTCGCCGTGGGTGGGGGTGCAACAAGAATTTGTCTTCGCACCACCAACAATGCACTTGCTTTTATTTTTACTAGCCAAATGCCAGGATTATTTGGAGCCAAAGAGTGAAGTAAAAGAAAATACCAAAAATATGAGACACCATTTGTACCACAAATCCACAATCCATATATAGTGAAACACAAATTCTTATGTGATGCAGCACAAGTTAGGCGAGTCGACTCGTCATACAATTTGATAAAAAATGCATACTTATACAATCAAATGTCATACTTCTTTTTATGTTGTTTTTTAAAGTAGTACATTTTCTAATGAAAGTATGCACATTTTTAAAAAGAGTATGTCATCCTAACTGTTAGACCAACCAATTGTGAAAAGTTCCACCAAATTCAAACATTAGCATGCGATACAATCTTCTGAAGCCACTAGCATAGAACTCAACCTTCTAAAGCCACATAAAGGATCTGCCAAGTCATATCACCTAACCATTCCCTACCCCTCTAAATGAAAATGTGGGAAGTGAGAACAACGATCTACAAACATTCTAGTATGAATAGAAGAAGATAATGCTAAAGATGGAAAATCTCATAAACTACATAGGCTATGCAACTCAGCAACATATTGCATCTTTATAGCTGAATTTAGCTTTCAAGAAATGGTAGCAAGTATTCATAAAAGCCAGGGCTCATAAAAAGCCCGAGAATGAAATTCAAGATAAAAAGTTCCCTTCAAGCAAACAAATTGCGTGGAGTAGCTGCCCAAATCTTCCTATAATGAAACAAATTAAGCCCCCAAAAGCAACCCAAACCCATCTTTCAACTGATTCAATAAATAGACAAACAACTAAGGAAACTAAAAAGTTCACCCAGAACTAATAACAAAACCTACCTCAGAATTTGAAAAGAAAACAAATCTGGATCCCAATTGTAGAATTATTTGGGGAGATTAAAAGAAAGCGCCATGTTTATATAAGCGCACAAGCAAACTTCAACCTTTAGTCAATAAAATATTAGGATAAAAATCTAATAAAGGTTCAAGATCAGATGCACAAAAACATACATATATGCGTACAGAATATAGATGACAGGAGAGATTCGAATAAACATTGTTATGCAGACATCCAAAACAAGAAACAACGTGCCACAAGATCAGAGTCACGCGAGGCGACAGATAAGGGAAGCATTGCCCAATTTTGCAGAACCTCGATTTAATTAACCAAAAAGAATAGGATAATCCATCAATTAATTAATGCAGAACCCTACATACGAATGCGAAAAACACAAAACTTTAACCAATAATAAATATAAAGCAGTTAACCACCTAACCACATGCGTCTCTCATCTGAAATTCTTTAATTTATTCATCTGAGATTCTTTAATTTATTCATTTATTCCAGATAAATTATACAGCGAGCCCCGCTAATTGCAAAATTATCGCAAAAATGCTTCGACATACCGTATAATTCGCTCGGATACGGAATTTGGTGGAGGAGAATTTTCGAGAAATCACTGCAGAGAGAGAACGTGATCAGGGTTTGCAGATGAAAATGAAAATAACAATGAGAGAGAAGAGAAAAATGGGTTACGGACAGATCGAGAGAAATTCAGAGCGCGGCCATTTTCTGGAGGGTTCAGAATTTCCGAACTCAGAGGTAGCGAAAAGGTAATTAAAATCAAAAATTGGTAACTTGCGTTAGTAAAGCGCTGCCCTAAGGCTCTGTTTGGTCAAATTTTCAAAGTTTTGCTTACTTTTCTTTCAGGTTCAACTACCCGGCCAAATTATATAGGCAAACTAATTAAATGTCTTGCAAAGACAATTATATTTTTGAATTAAAACTAGTAAATAGTCCGTGTGATGCACGAGACAGAAGTATTAAATGAACCATTTTCGCATAGTTTGTCCGTTAAGTAGCTCGTGCGATTCACATGAGTGTGCTAGGGCTTGTCCGTTCAGGCCTAAAAAATAATAGAGTTTGATCATCTATCTTTTTATATCTTTTCATCAACGTCATTTTTTTTTGTTGTATCTCGCTCACATGTTTATAACAATATATATTTGATTTTATTATATATGTTTATTCCTTGATATAAGAAAAAGAATAATTTTTTATAATCTTGTTCCTCGTATAATACCTATATTATTTTATTATAATATTTATTTTAATATAATGTCATTATTATCTATACAAGCTATAGATGTAGTCTTCTTCTTCTTTTTGTTTTATGTAATTAAACTATTCAATGTATGTTCATATTATTTAGTTTGCCGATAGTGTTACTAAATATTTTTATATAATGCCACTATTATTTATACAAGTTATAGATGATGGTCATATTATTTAATTAAAGTAGAACATTTTGTACAAATATTTTACAAAATATACACAAATGTTGTTTTAGAATTTAATTTTTTATAATAAATAAACATCTTTGAAATTTTATTTAATTATTAAACATCCTTGATATAAATTCGAAATCATAACTGAATTCTATGCAATTATTAATTCCGTCCGATGTTATGGGAAACAAATCATTCGGAAATGTAACAAAATGATAAGGAATTTCAAAATTTAAATTTCAAAATTTGTCCGATTTTATGGCAAACAATTCATTCAGGATTTTAATATAACAAAATGAAAGAAATTTTAATATTTAAATTTAAATTTGAAATGAGACATGTTTTTACTTGAAGTCTATCTCTCCGATTTTATTGCAAAACACATCAATTAAGGATAAATTAATGTAAACCAGTTTTTTAGCAATAAAATAATAATACAATTGAAAAAATTGATGGAAATAAAATGCATTAATTGTCCTTTGACTTTTTTTGCTACTAATCTTAGTAAATAGGATGACTCTTTATATATATATATAGATATAGATATAGATCCAATAAATTGATATTTATATAAAAGAATATTAATAAATGTACAATTAAGAATTCCATAAGTTTAGTAGTATAAGATAAAGTATATGACTGCAAAATCCGTTGTTTGCTAACCATGACAAGAGCCCGGGATAAAATTATTACAATTTCTCATACCCCATTATTGTTTTTTTGGGTACAAGAAGAGGAGGCAAAGTCTAAGGATTAACATATTTCGAGGATAAGACACCCATATCACATCATGATTTAACCAAATCTTTGGAGGATTATCCAACGATGAAAACCGCCAGGCCCTTGAGCGAGGCCAAAAAATAGGCAAGAAAGTTTGATTCTCTATAACCATGCTGCAAGACCACATGCCACTGTCTACTCAAAAGCTCCTTTACACTCCGCAAGACGCTCGTGTGTACTCCCCGACAAAAGTCCCCGTTCACCATTGCAATAATACATACTTTGATTATCGACCTCCACAATCACATTGCGCGCTCTAATATCTCATGCGAGCTTCAAGCCTTGAAATAAAACCCAAAGTTCGGCTCCAATAATTGAACAAAAACCAATATTCATTAAAAAACCACTCAACCATTTTTCCGCATGATCTCGAATAACACAACCCGCACTAGCCATACCTGTGTTTGGAACAAAACTTCCATCTATGTTAACCTTCACCTAATCGACATCCGGTGGCGACCAAGCTATCCACCTCAGCCCAGCACCTCCCATCGCCCTACCACTAACCATTGCCGCCCTCATTTGATGAACATAAGAAAAAACTTCTCCAACACGTTGCTCAACCGGACATTCCTTATCCTGAAAAAATTTCAAATCACGCAATCTCCACATAGTTTTGTTGTTGTTGTTGTTGTTGTTGTTTTTAGTTTTTTATAATTTATTTTATCTTAGTCCACCCCATTAAAAACAAATAAACAACAAAGCCCACACATACAACCTAACTTCTTATATTCTCCTAAGCCTGCTCGTTCATCCCCTCATGACAGAGTAAGAATTTTGTTCTCTTCTTCTCTCTGAATTCTCTCTTCAGTCTCCATTGTTGCAATTTCTACAATCTTTGCAGAGTGCGGACTGCTTTCACTCACCGGCTGCCAAATCGTCAACTTGTCGACCAGCCATCACTTCCACTCGGCCATCCGATTTAAAAGGTACCCAAAAAAAATATATTTACTTTACAAACCCTAGATGGCTAGATTACGTATTGTGAAGGGAGAAAATATCATATGAGGTTTAATTATTGTGTGAAACATCCATGATTGAGTACTTGTTCTTGAAAAGAAACGACAAATTTGAAGCCTGAAGCATTCAAAATATTTACTGTCTCTGTGATTTTTAATTTAATTTTTTTTTTTTCTGGATTTTGAGCAATTGGGTGTTGAGATCTAGCATTTGCTTCAAATTTTATTTAGCTTGTATACTCAGATGCGCCTACATTTGATCAATTTATGAACCAGGGTATGTTTTTGTTTTTTATTATCTTGTTATTGTTTCATTTGTCTAAATATGTCTAGTAATATCACTTTAGTTTCAGTTTTTATCCTAATATGTAGCAATATGCTAATATCATTTGTAGACAGAGCTATTTATCAAAGATATGGTGTCTACCAATGTTATTTTTTTGTATATTTTANAATTATTGGGGGAAGTGAATATTAGTTATGAATAGAATGTTTGAACTTACGATGAAGATTTAATTATACTAAGAGCCACCTTGAGAGATTTCTCATTTCTGGTTTGGTACAAGAGATATTTTTTTTATAGATTTTGCAATTTTGGTAGACAATTTATTTGGTGCGAGTTCATTTTTTAAAGGTTGGTCATGAGTATAGAACGGTTGATCATATTTGGTGCGAGTTCATTTCTTATGTGAATTTTTTTATAAAAAAATGAATATCTAAAATTCTAGCCCAGTCTATTCTTAATTTCTAGATCCGTCCCTGTCCACATACGCCAAGCCGTGAGCCCAAATATGGACTCCCAATTCTCCAAATATGGACTCCCAATTCTCCAAAGTGGTCACCAATTTCCCAGCCAAATTCCACCAAATTCAGTCGTAGAGAAAAGAACATAGGCCACAACTCCAGTGGCACTAATTTTTTCCAAGTATCAGCAGCTACCGTACAATCTCTTAAAACATCAAGGGTGGACTCACTAGTTGCAAGACAAACCTGACAATAAGAATTATCTATCAAGTGTCTTCTCTGTTTGTCTCATCTCATTTGTTAACAGGCTATCACGAGCTGCCAGCCAAAGGAATTGTCGGACTCGTTGCCGGCCCACCCAACGCCAAATTAATCTCCAGCAGCGATTACCCCATTATTGTTTTAATTACAATAACCGTGATCAAATTGTCCCACCCACATTATTGTTTTAATTACAGCAATGTCCATACAATTTTCATACCCCATTACCCTAGCCCCAAATTGCGAAAGAGAAAAACAAGACTCTCTGCAACGGGTCCCGAAGCCGTTGTTGGAGCCTTTTCACCGACTAGAGAAGCTACTACCTATTAGATGATGGAAATGCACCCGAAGCTGGATACATAGCTTTCTTGAAGAGCTCCATGGGCCGGAGCAAGCTGTTGACATTGTTGAGTGCATGTGAATTTTTTTATAATCTAATTCTTAAATTGCCACCACACCATTGTTGAGTGTGAAATTGGGAGGGAGACCTTCTGCGGGAAAAACATTGGGGAAGGGATAAGTGCAAATTTGTAAAAGTATATTCATATTCTAGTTCGGTTAACAAATATCTAACAAATATGAGTTACAAAATTTTAGAGCGTATTTGTTAAAGGCGATAAGATAGGATTGCAGCACTTATCCAGCCTAAAATAGTTGTTTGTTTGCCTAGATTAAGGCCCGTCTGATTTCCTAATTTGTAAAAGTATGTTCATATTCTAGTTTTGTCACGGTTAACAAACATCTAACAAATATGAGTTAAAAATTAATTGTATCATGGTGGATTTCAATGTTTAATTACAAAAATTATCCTAAATTTTAAGACATCGAATCTTTCTCATCGTATTTGTTAAACATGTTAAGACTGGCCGACAGCGCAGGCGAGCCACAGCCCGCCAAAACTCACAGTTTGGCGGGGCAGGCCTGTAAAAGAGCAACCGGACACAACAATTAGGGCAAAAGGTCCATAAAATATTACATGATACTTGAGGGATATTCAAGGTTTATAAGATGTACACGACTTTTAAGTATCATGTATGACATTTTATAGTATGCAAGCTTGTATTTTTTCGGCAAAGTATGGCTACCTAACGATTAGTCAGCCTAACATGTTTTAAAATTTAATCCAAATCTGAATCGAATAAGGTTGATATAAAAATCTAGAATTTCATGTAACGGATGCATTTGATGCGATTAAAATTAATTTCTATATTCGTTCTACTTTTTCTGCATAATTATGGGAAACATTTTTTTTTTCAAATATATAAAAGGCATCATTTCAATATTAAATTGTAACTTTCAAACTCTAAAATCAGAATTGAATGTGGAATTAGTGTATTCAACCATTAATGTTAGCATTAAAAATTGCATTTGAATCAAATAGAAAGATTTACAATTAAATCAATGAAAAGAAAGGTTCTAAAAGGCATTAGGCACTTGCTGAGCAATAGGGGTCTAGCGCCAAGAAGGCTTAGGCAGAGATTAATTGGGCCTAGGCAGAGTCGTAAAAATAATAATAAATTTATTTATATTTAAAATCATACATAACTTACCAATTATGTTTTATTATATTAATTTTACATTATTATTATTATTATTATCATTATTATTTTACAATTATTGTACAATCATGTATAAAAACTAAATATTTT